TGAATGAGCTTATTAATAAGAAATTTCTAAGTTCTACAATTAAACACATTTTTTGCTGCATTACTACGTGGAATAATTCTGACCAAAGATGAGAAAAAAACCACGCAATTCCAGTAATCGTAAAAACCGAGAGGAATTCACTGTGAATTTTGTTCAAATTTTGACAGCAGATTAACGCTCTTGAATTGTTAGGGACTTTAGGAAACACCATGCATACGAGTGGCGTAGTTGGGATTTACCACATTGGTTTGTCGAACCATTAATCGGAACGGCTTTATATCTAGAGATTTATATTGGATTAGGTCGCGGAAGAGGTGGTGTGGTTTAGTTTGAAGGCAGAGAGTAACTCTCTCCCATAACCACTCTAATGAATGTTATTCAAAGAGAATTCCTTTCCCTAGGATCAAAGTCTGATGAAAATCGATTTTCGAGTATTAAATGTTCTCGCAATTATTTAACTCCCATCACACACTTAATATATTAATTTCGCTTAATTTCCATATATGTTTTGAATTATGTATTTGTCGGTGTCCTATTATTTCTCTCCTATATTATTTATATTATATTAATATTTTCTATTTTTTATACTTTTCTATTTTGTTTCCTTTATTATTTTTTCCCTCCTTTATCCTTTCTTATTTCTTTTTCCTTTTCTTCTTTTTTATATTATTTACAGTAGTAAAAATTAATAATTCTATTAGAGTATTCGAAACTTTATAAAAATGAATGAAACTTAAATGAATTTTTTTTTTGCTAATTTTGCAAAGTAGGATAAAAAAAAGAATATTATGCTATAATAAGAATGAAGGGAGTGTTTTCGTTGATAATATTCGTTACTTAAATGGAAATAGTGTTCTTAGTAAAATGCTTTTTGATGCATCACGTCGGATCATAGGTTACTAAGCATCAATTTTCCATAATCTTACCGCTTTTCAAGTTGGCGCTCATGAATCACCAATCGTTCAATGGTGTCATGACTGCTAGGGTATCATCAATTTAAAAATTCCTTATTAATTTCCCCTGATATTTATATCGTACAAAAAAAGAGAAGAGTTTTAATAAACAATAATCGTAATTGTTTCCTTAGAAAATGGTATTTCCATTAGAAAAATTGAAATACATGAGATCAAAAACAAAAAAAAAAGTGAAGGATAAAATTTTACTTATTATGAAATGTACTCACATATGGTATGTCAGCGATTTTTCCGTTTTGCTAACGGGAGAAAAAAATGGTACAGAATATAATATAAGAGACTGAAAAATGTAAAAGAGATGCGTTGAAATCAATAACTATAAAGCCTTCACTTTTTATTTATTCTTTTTTGCTTCTTCTTTCTGCAAGTCGGGTGCAATCGTACATAGACTCTCTCTTCTCTCTCTCTTCTCTCTTTCTTTCTCTCTCATACGGTTATTTTACGGTAAAGTATCCCGCCTCGACTACTCTTTTCACTGAGCGCTTCTATTGCGCCTGACTTGAACAGGAAATACATGGAAATTAGGCTGTGCATCGAGGGAGCTTGGAAGAAACAAGAAAAAGCACCATCGTTCGATATCTGGGGAATATATTCCGAAACACAATAGAAATTCTCATGAGAGATGAATCTTGCGCTTAACAATAAAAAAAAGTATAAAGAAGAAGAAGAAGAAGGAAATCAAACAAATACTCTTATAACAATTTAGTTAATGAAAAAAATTTTTTTTTTAAATTATGGCAATATAAATATATTATACACTCGATTTCCTCCTAGTATTTACGATCCCGGATCCTTTATTTAAATTTTAAATTTATGAAGATTGGAATAATAAATAAATTTTGAAAATTTTCAAATAGAGAAATTAGACTGTCTCGAAAGTTTCGAAATCTAACGATTGAAAATGTTGCTATACTTGGAAATCCCTCTGCTAAACCGAGAGGCTTATAACACGCCACTGGGAGTAAGAACTTATCGTAAATCTGTGTTTACTCTAAAAAGTTTGTTGCCTCATGAAATCGGCTGAGAAAAAACCCTTTTCACCACACAAGCAACAGATAATAAATCTTCATTTTTCAAAGGTATCCTAAAAGTAGTTAATGCCATTGTAGAAGGGCACAAATCATTTTTTTCATTCACATTTGCTTTATGTGCAGATATTTATTTCAAAATATTATTCAAAACACTTTTCAAAATAAACAGTTCACTTTTTAAACCACAAATATTTTTTCAAACAAATATTTACTTAAATAAATATTTTTTCAGATAAATATTTTTTTAAATTTGAAATTTTTACATTCATTCATAAAAAAGCTTCACATGGAACATAATTTTCACATGGAACATAGAACTTAAGTTTCTCTACAATAACGAAATTTCTAACTAAAACAACTAAAACATTTCGCTAATATAGTAAAATTTGTAGCTATTCTGCAAACATTTTTTACCATCTTTCATTGTTCAAAACACTTTTTCGAACAGAAAAAAGAAAAAAAAATTCTTTAACAGAATTTTTTTATGCTACGATTTAAGAAAAAAAAATTTATTTCCTAATATTCACTAAGAAAACAAATTTTTTCCTTATAAGAGGATCGTTTTTGCAATTTTGTGAAAATTCTTTTTCTTTTTTTCTTTGCAGTTTTTGAATTCACGAATGGAATTACTATGGGAAAAGGTTTGACCATGCGAGTTTCTCGTCGCTTTACGGTTTTCAATATGATCCACATCAAACAAACTTATCTTTTTGAGTAATCCCTCTCATCAAGTTCAATCTAATCTCTTTGATGTTACATTAATCTTTATATGCTAATATAAAGTTACAGTGAATTTAAATAGATTACACACAAAATTAATATCAAATAAAGAGGAAATTTTTTTTCTTCTTCTCAAATCATTTTTCAAAAATTATAAAAATATTAATTGCCACAACGCAGGTGTATAGGGCTCGATAATCTCCTTTTGTCCGGTTTTTGATTGATCAATTAAAAATGGAAATGGTATTCGTTCAAATTACGAAAATGGAATTTCAATGCAATTTTGTACAAATATTCAACAGTGATAAATAGTAGATTTAAAACATGTTGAACAGAGAACTGATCCCGAAAAAAATTAGTTACAATCGTTTATGACAAAATGATTTGGAATTAATATATATCAATTTTTAAAAAGCTTGAAAAATTACAGGAAACTTGCTGGAAATGGTAAAATTTGTCATAAAGGAAATATTTGACATCTATATGTACATAAACACTGAAAAAAGTTTATTTTATTAAAATAACCGAATACTTATCTATTATCAAATAAATATTTACTTGAATTAAATAAATTTTTTTTCAGTATATATAGAGATATATTTATATATAGAGTATATTTATATATTGAATATATTTATTATAGAGAATATATTTCTATACATAATATATATTTATATAAAAAAAAATATTTAAAAAAATATATTTATATAAAAATATATTTATATACAGAATATATTTATATATAGAATATATTTCTCGGGATGTGACAATAAGAGAATTGCAGAAACAAATTTCTACAGTCGAGTAAAGTCACGATTCTATAGAAGTGATCGTCCATTGTTCGTTCAACCGTGTACAAATCTGTTTCAATTTGAAATCGGTGTTTGTCGTATTGTCCCTTTTGAAGTGACGAGTCTTCTGTCTTCGATATTTTGAAAAGAAATTTTAGACAAATATAAAAAAAGGGAAAACGAAGAAAAAACATTTCGTTTATCGATTTTTCGTTCCCTTTAATCTATTGAATTGTTTTATTATTCTTTTCCTATTGTTTCCTAGCTCATGATGACAATGATGATGATGATGATGATGATGATGATGATGATGATGATGATGATGATCAGCAAAACTCTTTTTGCTAACTTTTCCCTGATTTCCCTAACCAATTCTACTTTCCCTAACTTTTCCCTAACTTCCCTGACCTGTAGCAACCCTGATTTAAATAGAACTGCGTTACTTCGAATTCCATAACTTCCAAGTCTGTAACAGCGTTTAATATAAGTCTCTAGTCTCTACGTTAATTAGAACTAATTTAGTTATAACTGCGTTAAGTAAAACTCAGTGTAAGTTACAACTTGTTTAAGTAGAACTACAAAAATAATACTTTTAAGCAAACAAATATCCATAAACTCAAGAAATAACAATTTACCATCAACTCCACTCCTTTCGATTACAGCAAACATTATAAACTCTTATCATTAACATTATAACAAAATAAGTATAATGACATTTTCCTAAATCATTACCGTACACTCAAATATCTCCTCAGAATATATACATATATATATACACTCTCGTCTTTTGCGTACCTTGCGTTTAGAATTACAAGATTAACTGAGTCTAGTATGCCTCACTAGCACAAAGCAAGTTTCCACTTCAAAATTAGAGGTTTACGATGTATCTAATGACGTTATTAAAGTCACACTTGCATGAAAGTCGAGCGTTTATGTGGAGAGAGAGAGAGAGAGAGAGAGAGAGAGAGAGAGAGAGAGAGAGAGAGAGAGAGAGAGAGAGAGAGAGAGAGAGAGAGAGAGAGGAACTGAATCCCAAGGCAGTGGTAAATTTCTTGTCAGTAATGGAGGTAAACTAAAATAAACAGGAAGGTTATCGTGTGCATCCTTCCTTCCTTTCTCATTTTATGTTTTGATGCACTCTTTATTTCTGTCCCACTTTGCCTATTGTTCCCAAGATGTAGGTAAACTCAATGAGCATGACTTTGTCGACAACTCTAACGAGAGGAAAATGCAAAGCATCTATTTTATACAACATTTCGAAAAGTTCATGAGGACTTGACATTTGACAAAAGGAATGAAAATCTCAAATATAATACGAGATGGAAAATTTAATTTCATAATTCTGTTGTCAATTCTTTGAAATTTATTTTCATATTCCTCAGGATAATTTTTTTCTCTCCCTAATAAATAATAATGTATTTTTGCAAATAATATTTTAATTGAATTCTCTCCATTATAATCATGTCCTTTCTTTTCTGTTTCAGAAGGCTTAGAAGAGTGTATTTATCTTTATTCGTAAGTAGAAAACATTTTCTTTTTTATATCACTATAATACTTCTTCAGGGTTGCCACCAAAAATTTAATTTTGTTTTTCCCTGACTTTTCCCTGATTTCCAGACAGAATTTTCACTTTTTCCCTGACCCTGAAGAATATTCTGATTCACTACAAAAATCATTAGATACTCAACAAAATTTTCTATTACATTTATTTACAAATTTCTTCAAAAGTAAATTATTTCTAAACATTAATAAATTCTTTTTTAAATAAATATTTAATCATTGTTATTTTTCTATAGGAATTAAGTTTTTAATTTCAAACCTTTTGAAATTCAATAACTTATGAGAATATTATTATAAAACATGAAGAAATCGATAACTCCGAGTCTTCGACTCAGAGTGGTCGATTTCTTCCTGTTTTATAATAAATTTAAGATGAGAAAATAATTAAATTCTTGCAACAAATTTTTTATAGAATTGAATTCACATGAAAAAATTAATTTGTGAAAATAATTGAATTCTCGAGAAAAATATTATTTATGAAAATAATTAATTTCTTGTGAAGAATTTTATACAAATTTTTAAAAATAATTGTATTTCTCAGAATTTTTAAAAACTTTTTGAAAATAATTAAATTCCATCGAGAAATTTTATTAAAAAATTGAAAATAATTGAAATCTGACGAAGAATTAAAAAAAAAATTTTTTTGTTAAATAATTAAATTCCTTTGAAAATGTTTATTTTTGAAAAGAATTGAATTCTTGGGAAGAAGTTTATTAAAATTTCATAAATAATTGATTTGCTTCGAGGAATTTTATTTTTTACGAAAAAAATTGAATTGTTTCGAAGATTTTTACAAACATTTTTGACAAAAAAAATTTCAACTCGGAGTTGTCGATTTCTTCCTGTTTTATAATAAATTTAAGATGAGAAAATAATTAAATTCTTGCAACAAATTTTTTTAAAGAATTGAATTCATATGAAAAAATTTATTTGTGAAAATAATTGAATTATAGAGAAAAATATTATTATTTATGAAAAAAATTAATTTCTTGTAAAGAATTTCATACAAATTTTTTTAAATAATTGAATTTCTCAGAATTTTTAAAAACTTTTTGACAATAATTAAAATCTGACGAAGAATTAAAAAAAAATGTTTTCAATAATTGAATTCCTTTGAAAATGTTTATTTTTGAAAAGAATTGAATTCTTGAGAAGAATTTTATTAAAATTTCTTAAAGAATTTATTTGCTTCGAAGAATTTTATTTTTTACGAAAATAATTGAATTGTTTGGAAGATTTTTACAAACATTTTTGACAATAATTGTATTCCTAGGAAGAATGTTATATTTTACGAAAATAATTGTATTCTACGATCAATTTTATTCTAATTTTTCAAATTTATATAAAGAATTTGATCAAAATTTTTTATAATAATTGAATTGTCGAGAAAAATTTTATTATTTATGAAAATAATTGATTTCTTACGAAGAACTTTATTCTAATGTTTTTAAATAATTGAATTCTTAAGAAGAATTGCATTAAAAATAATTGAATTGTATAGGAAAGTTTTATTAAAATTGCAATTTTATTAACTAATTCTTGTAAAGAATTTTGTCAATATTTTTTTAAATAATAGAATTTTTAAAAGATTTTTATTTAAATTTTTCGAAATAATTGAATTTCTCAGAACTTTTTTTTCAATTCTCTAAATATATTTGAATTCTTTCGAGAAACTTCATTAGAAATTTAAAAATAATTGAATATTTTCAAAGAAATTTATAAAAAATTGGTAAGTAATTGAATTCCTGTGAAACTTTTATTAAATTTTTGTTTAAATAATTGAATTCTTTCGGAAAATTATATTGGAATAGATATTAAAAATAATTGAAATGAGACAATTTTTTGAAAATAATTGAAATTTTGCCTAGAATTTCATTAAATTTTTTGAAAATAATTGAATTTTGGAGATGAATTTTTTTATTTATACAGATAATTGAAATTTTGACGAGGATTTTTAAAAATTTTTGAACATAATTGAATTTATGCAAAGAAGTTTATCACTTTTGAAAATAATTAAATTTCTGGAATAAGTTGTTCTTAAAATTTTAAATTGAAACCTTTGAAGTTCCTATTTATGAAGATTGTAAACGCAACTCTTTTGAAGTGCAATTGTAGTTTTGAAAATTTTAAGTAAAATTATTCATTAAAAAATTTATAAATAATAATTTTATGACAGTTCTTCAAGAATTAAGTTATTTAATATTTAATTAAGTTATTTAAAAAGAAATTATTGTTATAGAAATAGAAAAAATTGAAGATTTTGTGTTATATGATTCTTGTCAATTTCATAGTTTATGAGGCAAACCAAAAAGACCCCAAAATTCAGAATTTTCTTATAAATTCTAAAAATTGAATTTTTTCAGTACTTTTAATAAAAATCCCTGTCTTTTCCCTGATTTCCCAGACCGATTCCAATTTTCCTGACTTTTCCCTGAATTCTCTGATCTGTGGCAACCCTGTTCTTTTCTCTAAAATAAAAAATTTTTCTTTCCCAGTGATAAAAAAGTTGCTTTGAAAAATATTCTAAAAATGCATTCCTAATACCCTTTTTAATAATTTAAGAATGTATTTCCAACTCTAGCAAAGAAATAGAAAAGATCGAGAAGATTGTAAACTTTTAAGTAAACGCAATTTCATTTTTATGACAGGAATTTATTATCAAACTATATTTTGTACACGTGTAAAAGAACAAACGTAAGAAAAGTAACTTTGAAATACTTTTTTGATCCTTTTGATGTACATATCCATCGTGCAAACTTTTTTCCCCAAGACCAGCTGAACACTTTTTATAGACTCTCTAAAAAAGAAGTACTTGAAAGATGTGGTTTACCTCTTCTTTTTCCACCATAACAACACATCCTTTTAACTTAATAGAAATTTTATCATTGATAACGATTCAAGTTACGCATTAAATTTTTTTATACTCTCGCCTTTATCAACCTTACAATTATTAAATTCACGAGAATTGCAGTATAAACAAATTTACATCTTAAATTTCGTATTTAATAAGACTTTAGAGACATAAGACTTTACAAACTTTACAGATTTCACAGATATTTACCGCACTGAAACAAGTTCATAAAATTAAGGATTAAAATTCTTAATCCGAGTTAAGGATGAATTACATGAATTACATGAATTACACTAATTTTTCAAGACAGAGCGAAAATTTTAATTTAAATAAAATTGTATTCAAATTTATTAAATATAGAAGTGGATCATTATCTCCATTCGAGTTCCTCTCTCTTTCTCTCTTTTACCGAATAAGTTCTAAGATTCTTTTCCTTTTACCATTTCGGAGTGCGCGAGTGGTTCGTGGTGCGAATCGTTTGGCAGAACTTTGTGAATCGCGTCCACTTATTCATGTCCAGAACTCGTTGGAAAATCCCTCTGGCAAAGGAGAGGCTGTAGGTTGAGATGAGTCCTGTAGGATGCCGGTAGTAGTTGGAGGTCTTTTGAAAGTTTTATGAAGAGAGTAGAAGAGGATGGGAGACAAGGGGATGGCGCGTTTGTCTCTGGTGATTTCAAGTCCGGAATATCGTGGTGTATATCAAACTGTGTCTACATGCCAGACTTGAAAGGAACATTTCTTGTTGGGATTTAATGAAACTTAATGGAATTAAAAATTTTACATCATGTCAAAAAATTAGAAAGTATTATTGAATTACTGAGAAAGGGCTTTCACTTTCTCAGTAATTCAATAATACTTTTTTTTATCGTTTAACATGTTTAGGAAAATAATTTCAGGGAATTAATTTAAAGGCAAGGGATTTATTTATTTATTTTTAGGTAGAGTAACGCGGGGTTTATTAAAGCAAACGTTAGGTATAATTCTGTGTTAAAATCGTAAAGGATAGAACTTCTTTAAGTAAAATTAGGTAGGTTTATGTCACGTAGAACACTTAACGCAATTCTTGTTAATACAGAACTCTATTGTTATTTAACCAATTTCTAATTTTTACCTTACGCATTAATTAAAGAAGCTATAAACTAAATATTTTTCAGTAACTAATTATTCTTTTCTTTTTATTTAAAAAATTTGTAAAACTTTCAGAAAATAGTTAGTTCTTTCTCTTCTAAATGTGAATTTAGAAAAAAAATTTCCAAGTAGAGCTAAAACAAATGCTTTTAAATTGACAAAATGCCATAGGCGACGTTCATTAGGGACATAAGGGCATTATCAATTTAACGAGCTTTACGATAAAGTCCACCGATTCTTTTCAAACGCGATAAACGCGCGCGTCTATGATCGGCCAAAGAGAATTCCGCGAAGTACTTTCGCGGTGAATTGCTTGGATGATAAACGCATTATCGCACCGAGGCCATAATCTAATGGGCTCCAGATGCAGCGAATAATAGAGGACTAATTATTATAAGAGAAAGAGAGGAAAAAAGGAAGAAAGAGAAAGAAAGAGAGAGAGAAACAGAGATGAAGAGAAAGAAAGAAAGAGAGAGACAGATAAAGAGAGAAAAAGAGGAAGGGTGGAAAGTATGAAAAAAAAATAAAAAAGGGAGGCATTAAAAAAACATATTACTTGGCTTGAGACATAATGCTGCCGGGCATTTTATTCCAGGGGAGCTACAATTACTAAAAGCGAGATATGTCATGCATGAACCGAGTCAGCATAATATGTTATCTTATGAATGAATTTCTTGTACCTGGTGCTAAAAGTCGAAAAAGTTTTTGGAAAAAATTTCTTTTGCGATATTCTTTAACAATTCTTATGAATTGTTTTTGGTAATTAATTAACAAGTTTTGTCTAAAGCAAAGTTTTAGTATTCGTAATATTACTTAACGCAGTTCTATCTACGCAGTTCCATTTTATACTCAGTTCTACTTAACGCAGTTCTAACTTCCTTTGAGTTTCACACAACATACTTCTACTTAACGCAGCTTTCCACTTAACATAGTTTTATCTAACGCAGACTTCGCACTCGATAATTAATTTTAAAAA